CCAGGTTTAAAGACAAGAGGACCTACAGTATAAACAAGTTTCAATTCGCGAAAACTTTGAAAGCTTCCATGTTTTTGCTGCAGTTGCGCGTTTCATGACTTTGCCAAAAATCGAGACTTTCGAAGAAATAATTTTTTAGAGCTAAAAACAGCAGATTAGGAGAACCTAAAAATACTGCCATATAGTCCGAGAATTACTCTATTTTAACCATACTTAAACTTCTCCGGAACCCTAAAACGGAATTATAAAAAATTAGCCGAACTTTGAGCAGATAAAAATGACGAGTGAAGATTTTTAGCAATTATCACAAAAAGCATAAAGGATTTTGGTTTGAAAATGTATCCACAAGAAAGAAAAGGAAAAGCTGCATCGAATGCATGTTGCAGCTCATTCAAGCCTTCATTGTGCGTGGTTTTATAGTGGTTTGAAAAAACCGACAAAACTTTCGGGACAACCTAATAGATTGATTTCGTCTAGTATATTATGGATATATTCAACTTTGATATTGTTATAACTAATATTTTCCTTTTCTTTTTTGTTACCATTGAACATAAATTTGCAAAGTATACTAAGGGCCGCATGCACTAACCTCCCCCCTGGGAAGGGGTCGCAGCTTAAAAGAAAGTTTTATATTTCGAAACTCAAGATACCTGGATTTCACGTTGTGTACCTATCCGTAAGTATTCCTACTACACTTCACTTTGAACATGTTGAAGAAGCGAGAAGCTGTACGAACCGCATTTTCCAGCTTCTGTATGATCCCTGATGATCCTCGGCGCTTTTCTTTGAAGTCATTTTTCTTTCTCCAAACTTTCGAAAATTTTCCAAAGCTGTACTGAACATCTAACACAACAGTGCCAAGCATGTTGCTGATGAGAACAAATGAGTTTTTGAAAAGTCGAATTTTTCGGTAAAGCTCAAATTTCGACCTGTGGATCATCGGAAATTTCACGACTTCAAAACATCATTTGTTCTTATCACGAACATGCTTAGCACTGCCGAGTTGGATAATCTGCACCACTTTGGAGGTTTTTCGTTAACTTCGGAGAAAGAAAAATGACTTCAAAGAAAAGCGCCGGGGATCATCAGGGATCATACAAAAGCTGGAAATGCGGTTCGTACAGCTTCCGCTCCTCTTCAGCATGTTCATAGTGAAGGGTAGTAGGAACACTTACGGATAAGTACACAAGGTGAAATCCAGGTATCTGGAGTTTCGAAACATAAAGCTTTCTTTTGAGCTGCGATCCCCTCCCCGCGGGGATGTTAGTGCATGCGGCCCTAAGAGTAGTCACTTTTATATTTTGTTCAATTTTCATTAGAAATTTAGGATCAAAACATCTGCAATTACTTGTTTTATAAAACTTTTTTTCAATGAATGGATATATTGAAATAAATCCTGTAGTGAGCTCTTACTATTGATAGTTTTTAAGAATTAATCTAGTGTTTCTTTATTTTTTTCATGTCTGTATTGGCCAAGTATCCTGTCTTTTGTTATTTTCAAATTATAGTAAGGATGTGTTTCTTTTTGTAAAAGAGGGTTAACAATATTGAATATATTTCCATATCCTTTAATATTGTCATTCAATCCAAAAGGATATGCTGTGTTGAGTAATTTGATCCAGAATAGTTCTTTACTTACCAAGACATTCTTGTCTTTATTCTTTTCCAAACTATCTAGTATTTGAACCGTCATACTTCTATTTGTGCATGTTTTGAAGAGATAATATAGAAAGTTACTTATATCATTCTTTTTAGAATGATAAAAGCGTTCTCTTATCCTGCTTTTCAGATTGCTAGTCGTTAAACCTACATATTATTTATTGCATTACATGTGATGCAATAGATGACATTGTTATTTTTGCAATTGCTGTTATTTGTGCAAAATGTGTATATTTTTAATTTTGTTGAATTACCTACGATATATATGGATTGTGATCCATTTGTCTACAAATGACGCATTTTGAACGACATGCAGTTTTGATGTCATCGTTACCAAAATTGTTTAATGTGTACATTTTGTTAACCTTTTACGAAATTGTGATTGTTTATAATAATCATCAGCATTGCAAGACGTAGTTTTTCGAGACCACTTGAATAACTTCCTGTCGGCAGGTCTTTACCTTAGGAAGTGCGGGAGATAATGATTTGGCAGGGCTGCTGCCAGGGGGTTCATGACCGACCCTGTTCTGGTTTAGTGAGTTTTTGAAACTTTGGTTTACAAATGAATAAACGGGACCCATGGAGTCGCAGGGGGGAGGGGGTGTATCCCCTCATGTCCCCACATCCCCACTGGTTTCACCCATCATGTCCCCCTATTTTTATAGAACAAGAGATATGGCCCTCTCATCAAAGAATTTGTAAGGTATCTGCAATAAAACAAAATCTTACAATATAAAAAAATAAGCTTACCTGTTTTGATTTCGATTATTTGTAAATAAGTTGTCAACAAATAAATATATTTGATAAATAAATTTTGATTATGATATTCAGACAAAATAACTTTAATTCAGATATAGCATTTTTTGTATGAATATAATTATAAAATTATTCAATAATATTGATATCATTAGTTTATGTTTAAGTGTTTTGTGTTGTGTAAGTGTTTTTGTTGTTGTGTAAGTGTTTTTGTTTATGTTTTTGTTTTGTTATTAATATTGTAAATTAATGGTTGAGTTAATTTGTAACAGCTAATGATGTCAGAGGGCGCGGATCACCGACCTACCGATCTTCAGTGGCGGGAAGAAAAGCCCGCGCTGACCCCTTCGGCAGGGTATAAATACCGGGAGTCAGGGGGAGGCCTCAGACTGCGCTGAGGAAGCGCTAGCGGGAGCTAAAGCCATCGAAGAGAGGCGGATCTCCCCCTTAGATAGAGAGTATACAGTAAACCTGCCGAAGTGGTCAAAGAGGGTAAAGCCCTCGTTTCGTTGTTACGCCTTGTTCAAGATACACGTTCTTGTTTGTTGTTGTTAGTTGCCTTTTCCTGAGATAAACTATTAGTCGTTCAATCCGTGTAGTCTATCGATCCGGTTAAAACCGTTATACCACTAGACACCCCCGGTTACAATGATATTAGGTTGATGCATAATTCCTGCACCAAAATAGGTACAGACCGCAATAACTCGGAATAATCCTATATCCCAAGTAGGATTCGATATATCACTTGATAGCGCAAACCTAGCTCTACAAGGTAGTGCCCGAATATCTACACCAGCTTTGATCCACGCGAAGTTTTGAGCCAAAAACTGAAAAAAACCATGCGTTCGTAAACCTTAAGATAGATCATAAAAAATTGTAATTTCTTTCAAAAAGCTCATACAAATTTTCTTTCTTGCTCACGCGTAGACGTTCCATGTAAGACATTTATCTATGCGGTTGCTGTATTTTTTTCTCAACTAGACGATGAGAAAACGAAGTTTTTCATGTTTTTTCCAAAACAATGCTGAGATGTTCTAGCACTGACAGTTGTATAGTATAGAACCTTAAGCGTGAATGTGAATTTTCAGCTCTATAGAGCAGCTGGTTTACGAGAAATATCGAATTTTTAGCAACTAGGCAAGAAAAATTTGGATAAGGAGAGCTAGATTCGTTATTTTTCGTGAATCAGCTGTTCTAGAACGCTGAAAATGTAAAGTTTCACTGCTAACGGCTTGCACTATACAACTGTTAATACTAGAACATCTCAGCACTAATTTGGCAAAAACATGAAAAACTTTAAAAAACTTCGTTTTTTCATCGCCTAGTTGAGAAAAAAATACAGCAACCTCATAGATAAATGTCTTACGTGGAACGTCTACGCGTGAGCAAGAAAGAAAATTTGTATGAGCTTTTTGTACGAAGTTACAATTTTTTTAAGATCTGTCTCAAGGTTTTCGGACGCATGGTTTTTTTTCAGTTTTTGGCTCAAAACTTCGCGTGGATCAAAGCTGGTGCAGATATTTGAGCATTATCTTGTAGAGCTAGGTTTGCGCTATCAAATGGTATATCGAATCCTACTTGGGATAAAGGATTATTCCGAGTTATTGCGGTCTGTACCTATTTTGGTGCAGGAATTATGCATCAACCTAATATGTTTTATAATTGAAAAGGTAAATATAATTAAAAAAAACTTTTGAACTGTAATTTTGCAGCGCCGACATCCGCACTTACCATTTTGTCCCCAAAAGAGCCTCACTTCTTCCGTCAAGGTGATTTATTTGTTTCATGGTCACTGGTACTATAGTTTGTGATTTTCAAAAAAAAAAGCGTGTCGTTGAGAGTATCGAAGGCAGCAGTATCATCAAAGAAGACCTAGTGATTGAGAAGACTGAATGCGTTGAAGCTGAGAAAAGAAGCTCGATAATATTGTCTACATTTTGTTTTTTGCTGCATTTGTGTCGCAACCTTACCTATATTTGTATTTGCTGCTTTCTGCGCATTTCATTTCGCTTTCGTTGTAAAGCTTGCTCGACAAGATCGTGTGGTATTTGTTAATAAATTACAATGTAAGACTGGTTTTTACTAGCAGAAAAGTTACAAGCATGAGAAATGGGACCCAAAGAAACCAAGGGCTCAAGGTAAGTGAAAAGGGAAGCGTGAGAGAGGCACAGAGGACGCAAAAACCTGTTAATAAAGGCGTAAGCCGCGTGCTCTGAAAGCGATCGGGACATCATGGTGTCTCCCGCGGGTGTCCCGATTTTGTCTGGAATGTGTCCGTCGGTACACCTGATTTTGTCTTGCAGTTTTGTCCCGGAACAAAATCAGGTGTCCTGATTTTGTCCCGACTCCGATTTCGGGTGTCGCGCAGGCATTCCGTGACGATAGCTCGTTTTGTCCTGCGCGACTCAACCGCGAATGTCTGAGATATAGCCCCGACCCCGGTTGCACACTGCTGCGTGTGAACCCACCGCCCGATGGGTCTTTGCGCGAAACCCCTCAAGCCGATGCAAGTAGTCCGCTAGTACGGACCGAAGACAGGTGCCTGGAGCTGCCTTGATTGTTCCTGGTATTCATAATAAACTCAGACTCAGGGCGCAGAGGACGGAACGAATTATCAAGCAGTTTATGTGATTAAACTGCCGTTGCCGGAAGACGAATCAAATTTCGAATGTGATTTTGACTTTAATACTACGGTGAAGTGTGAGCTCAAGTACATAGAGAAGCCACCCAGTGACGACGTAAGCCTTTTTCGAGTGATTTGAATGATAAAGCATCAGTTTTTTCCCTCTTGCAGAGCGACTTTTGTCGAGTTGTGCCTGTTTTTGGAGCTAAAAACTATGAACTAAGGTGCCGCAGAAGAAAGGATTTTTAGATGAGAAAAACTGGATTCAGGTGATTGGCATTACTTTTATTATAAATGAATCATTTGATTTTGTTGTAGGTTACACTAGAGGATTTTAGAAACATGAACGATACTTCTGCACTACATAAAAAGTATGAATGCACAATGTTTCTAAATGAATAATGAAATTTGGCCTATTCGTAAGCTTCTGCACGAAAGTTGTTTCAGAATCGACAATCTCAAGAAGGTATACTGTCCGCCGATACGTAAGTGTTGTCCACGTCTGTCAGATCCATTTGCATCTCTAGTATGAGTCTTGAGATTCATCCCCAAGGCTTAGACCATGCCAGCCAACGATCGGTTCCGTGAAGCTTGAAATTCTTGGCACTACCATGTGTAATAATTTGAAAACGATGGCAGAAAACAGAGCTTGGCAGGGAGATGGCAAATGGGGACCTGAGGAACTACTCGCCTTTTTTAATTTCATAATTTAAAAGGGGGCATGAGTACCATCTCCATGAAACACACTAATTCGGTTCTGTTGACTACAGTCTTAGAGCAGTCACAAACAAGCTATCATCACACTTCCAATAATCTAGTCCGAATGCTTAGACCCTAACTACATGATGAATTATCGTGGTATTAGAGTATGAGTAACTGTGTATTTTTGTCTTTTTAAGGAACGCCTAGAGCGTATGTAATAAATAAATAATTAAATAATTCACAATTTCCCTTTGATTACAGTTATGACAGGAGAATGTGAAAATTTTCGGCAAATTCGGCTATGTTGGCGACTTGCAGTGTTGTAGCCCAATCCTGCAACGCGCAGAGATATAAGGGCGCAAACTCGCCCTTAATGACAGAATTCCCAAGTTGTCAATTACGACTTTTATTAAAGACTTGTTCTTCCACGACCTTTTTCCTAAAATATCTTATCATATCTTCAGAGATCTGTCGAATAAAACAAAACTCAGCCCCATATCTGTAATATTCGCAGAGTTATCAACGCTCCAAAATGCATGCTCAGGCCATGAAATCTGCTCCTCCAAAGTCGCCCCTAAGTCCTCCAAAAATCACGTTAGACACATCCGTTGCACCTATATACACCGTATTTTTTGTAGCCTCCCATATGCTGTTTGAAGTAAGCATCGCTCCGGCTAGACTAATTGATAACTGATAAAACAATGATTTACTCTCTGCTGCTAGCAGATGACCAAACCCTGTGTAAATTTTTTCATCCAAATCTTCATGTTGAAGTGATCTACAAGCTTCTTACAGTTATGACAGTGCCATAAGTTATGGCAGTAGAATGCGAAAATTCTCATCGAATTCGGCAAAGTAGGCGAAAAAGGTGAAGTCGCCGACTTCGTCGACATTTCCGAGATTTTTACATTCTGAAGTCGTAACTGTTTGACTGCATGATGCAATTTTCTCAAATTTCCGCTCAAATAGACACTCAATGTGCTGACAACATTTCTTACATTGTTTTGCTGCTGGTGGCAAATTATAGAGATGAGAATCCCTAAAATACACGACTCTCGAACGTGGGAGAAAATTCATGAGCACGTGCGTTTGTAACCTCATAATTTGATGAACAGTGCACATAGGGGCCTGTGCTAATCACGACCTGATGGCGTTCTTTACAGAGATTCTAATTTACAAAAATACGCAAGCAAGTTTTTTGGTAGAGAAGACGAGAAGTGCAAACAAACTTCAGCCTTGCGGGTTTGCCCAAATTTTTTTTTCTATTTGAAATTTCACTGTAAAACTCTTTCGCGAAATGACCAGGATTTTCGTTGACAGTCGGTTTGAAAATTACTGTGATTCACAGTGCGATAAGGTGAGAATGACTCCTCCAGGGTGAAGGGGGTCACAGTGTTCGCAGTCCCTCCAGGGTGAAGGGTGTTTCAGTTGATCGAGCAATCATAAAATGCCGACCGGGAGGGGGGGGGGGGGGGGGGAGGAGGGGAGAAGGAGATGGTGTTTTCTTATTTTCCAAATAAAAGTTTATCATATTAAATTCTCTGCCATCATTGGTTGTTTTTTTACCAAAATGTGAAAACTGATAGAATTGGAACAACCCTATATGTTTTTAAAAATACCCTAGAAGATGTGTATGCGAGAACATCTGTTTCGGAAGAGTTAGACAATTTTTAAGCATTTACGAATTTTTTTAAAAGAATAAATTCGTAACTTCTGTAGATGAACAGCAACGTCAGCAATGAAAAGGTTTTTACAACTCTTGTCTTCCGCTTTCAGAGAATATATAGCTTGCCTGGAGTCTATTCAAAAAGTGTCTGGTGGAGAGCGTGGGTAGTGATTTCTGGATATTTACGAGTATATAGTGCTCAAGAGTGTATAGAGTGTATAGAGTGCTCAAGTAGACGTCTTTTTACGTCTACTTGAGCACTTTGGTAAAAAAGCCTGTACTTGAGCACTCCCATTATAAAGGTCTCACCCACCCTTCACCCGGCACTTTTTCTAATCGACCCCTGGCAAAGTATATATTTTCTGAAAGCGGAGGACGAGGCGCCTCTAATGGTGTTCATCTCGGCGTATAAGATGTTCATCTACAGAAGTTATGAATTTTTTTATGTTAAAAACTCGAAAATCTCCAAAAATCAACAGGACACCCTTCACCCAGGCACTTTTTTCAACGGACCCCAAACATATTATATGTTTTCTGAAGGCGAAGGATGAGACGGTTTTAACGGCAACTATAGCGGCGTACTATGTTCATCAGCAGAAGTTATTAATTTTTTTTATGTCAAAAAACCGAAAATCCTCAAAAATCACTAGGCAAACCGTTCACTGCAATTTCTTGGATGGATATTGATCGTTCTAAATATTTTCTGAAAGCGGAGAACGGAAGGGTTCCAATGGTGACCATCAAGGCGTACAAGATGTTTAACTACAGAAGTTATGAATTTTTCTATGTTAAAAACTCGAAAATCTCCAGATCATTATTCACACCCGTCACCAAGCCCTTTTTTTCAACAAACTCCTCCTTTCCTATTTCATAAACAATTCACGTACAAATATCTTCTTTGCTTAACCTTACCTCACTGTTGATTATTTTTCTCGGCTTTTGGTGAAGGGAGGGTGAGAAAATTCTCACACTATCGCACCTGTGCTGTGATTGGAGTACTGGTCAATTCAAGATCATCAATATTTCAGCCAAAACCAGTGGTCAAGATCGAAAATCGAGAAAAACATATGGCGCCTTTTTCTTAGAAAATTTGAGCATAAAGGTTATCCGACTTTGATTATAAAAGACACGTCTGCTACCTAGCTTCTTTTTGTAGGGTTGACGGTAGCTAGATTTCGAATAAATGTTGATTCTAACAAATTTTGCTAGCCATTTTCAAATTCACTCCAAATGATACTTTGCACCAATTTTAACTGCTAAGGAACTCGCGAAGCTGCTGTATCGAATGATGTTTATCTTAGCTCTCTATCCACATTAAGTATTGGGTTGCGCCCTAACAAAAAACCGTTCGCAGAACATAATTAAACACCTCAGATAAGATTAGACTAGACTAGGTCTTCTCACCCATATATTGGGTATCAGTTACAATGGTAGTGGGCGGGGCTTACAAATCACAGCTAACTCGATAAAATCGTTGTTCTGGAGGTTGCGAAACCTTTATAATCGATAAAATCGAAGATTTGGAGAATTTGGAGATTCCACAACCTAAAAAAATTCCGTTTTGCCAATTTTTGAGATTCATACCCCCAATTTTGAACCCCAAGGCTCCACCTACCTTCTGAGGCTCCGCCCACTTCCTAAGATTCCGCCCACTCAACCACAAGCTCCACCCATTCTTCCCAGCTCACTTTTGGTGCTATACAGCCACAACTCCTTTAAACAAGCATCGCAAATTTTTTAACTCTCAAAATCAAAAAATGAACGAAAATTAGAGCGAAAATGAGGAGAAATAAGCGAAAAGTGATTTTCTAGCTTCATTCCCTTACTTATACCCAACATTGACCCTATGCACGGTTCAGATAGCTGCTGGAAACTGTTACATGCGTTTTGGTAATAAAATGGGAAGGGGGAAATGAAGGGTGGAAAAAGAGAAAATATCGCGTGGTCCCATCTAAAAGAAAAATTGTCTAGAAGGTTTCATAGATGGACTCCCACAGAGGAAGCCCCTATATTTTTTCCGAATTGTATGTGTTGCTTCTCTCGTATACAAATTAAAACATGGCTATCCCAGCCCGTCTCCCTTGCTTTTCACGGAGATAGAAGTCAAAATGTGCACGTCCACTATATATAGCGCCTCCTACGCAGGAGCTATAGGCACGAACTACATCCAGTAAAATAGAGCTTCTGAAATTGACATAGATGTTCACCTGTCATTATTCCAACCCTGCAACTCGCGGAGATAAAAGGGCGCAAACTCGCCCCTAGTGATAGAATTCCCAAGTTTGGCTGTTCTTCCACGACCTTTTTCCTAAAAATCATATTTTCAGAGATCTGTCGAATAAAACGGACCTTAGACCCATATCTGTAATATTCACAGAATTATTAATCCTCCAACATGCATGCTCAGGCTTGAAATCGGCTCCTGCAAAGTTGCCCTTTAATTTCTCCAAAAATCACGCTAGACATCTCCCTCGCAGTAGTTTGAAGTAAGCCGCTTGCTCCGGCCATACTAATTGGTAATTAATAGAGCAATTATTTTCCCTGCTGCTAGCAGATGACCAAACCCTGTGTAAATTTTTTCTTCCAAATCTTCACGTTGAAGTAGTCTACAAGCTTTTCTACAGTTATGACAATGCCATACGGTATGACAACAGACTGGAAAATGCTCGGCAATTCGAAGTTGGCAAAAAACGTGAAGTCGCCCACGTCGCCGGCATCGTCGAGAATTTCACATCCCAAAGCATAACTATACGCCAGCAAAATTAGTAATTCCGATTTGTTTTCGAGCGTTCCCCTTCTTTAAGGCAGTGGCTTAGCAAATTAAGTAGCAAGCTTTTCATCGCTCCTCGGCCTTTCGGATGCTAAGTCTAAG